TTGTTGGTGAACACTCCGCAAACGGATCTGCTACGTGTTCACGCATTTGTATTTAGTTGAGCTTAAAGGACCACCGTAGTGTCCTTGGTACAAAGAGCCAATCAAAGATCTTAAACATCCTTCAATACCTGGGGATCCCACACATGTATGAGCCACGAATTATGTGGCCTAGGATAAGGTATGGGACCAAGCAGGATCACTTAACTTATCAATTTCCATGAAGAAGTGAAATTTTACTTGGATGCACAACACTGACTATGGGGGGAGGCCAGTGAGATCCTTGGGAGGAGGCTCCGTTTTCGTCATTAGCAGCGCTATGACTCGGGGGTCCTATAACTAAAGAATTATGAAGAGGAAAAAATTTTACAAAGAGATGTTTGATTTAACGGGCGACGCCCCATAGGTGTGGATTTTGAATGATGAAATCAGCGTGTAATTGTTCTTCGGTTGCTAAAGAGAAGAAATCAGTAAAGGCTCGAAATCGCTCTTCTCTGGTCAGGGGATCACTTAGGTTTCTAGCCGAGCAGATCCAAGTAAAATAAATATCGAGATTATAATCTTGGATTTTCTGATGGATGCTCGCACTGAGTTTCTGAGTGCGTGGGCATCTAGTGCTGTTCGCGCATAGCGCGAAAACGTCGCCTAAGTTATCCACGTGCTGAATGAGAAAGTAGTCTCGGAGAAGGTGTGCCCAAATGAATGTGGAAACGTTCACTGCTAACGCTTCCAATATGCCTATGTGCATGTACTCGCCGGCGAGGAAGCGGGGCAATGAGTTCAGCTTTAAGCGGAAAAAGCGTGCGCCCTGTGGGAGGTTGATGTAAGCGCCAATTGACATCTTGTGATCATGGAGGTTGTCGAACTGCCCACGTTTCAGCTTCTCGTTGAGACCTTGCACGTCCTCAAGGGCAGCGTCCGAGTACGCATGGCCAACGGGTTTGTCAACTCGAGTTGGGTTTATGTGCAGCGGTTTAATGTGGTGCAGCGCCCACACCATCAGCTTAATCGAGGCCAACGCTCTGTTTTTCTCGGCTGTTTGGCTTAAGCATCTCGCGAAGTTGTCTGCTAGGAAATCGACCCCTTTCGCGATGAAGATCTTGAGGCGATCTAATGATGCGCAGTGGCGGAACAGCCCTCTAAAGGTAAGGACGAGAGACAGCTCGACCCGATTCTCAGCGAACTGGCGAATAAGCGCATCACCCAACTCCACACAACGTTTGATTTTGTCTGGGCTAACTGATATCTTCAGCCCGAAACTACGCAGATTAACCGGGTTTATCTCGTAGGCCAATCCAAGGACCGTGATCGATTTCTGGAAGCGATGGTGACGATCGTCTTTCTCGGGACTTCGCCACCAACCTGTGAGCCCTAAGTAAAGGTTGACCAATTCGATTTGTTTCGTAATACATTCTGGTCTGCATTGCGGATGAAAGTCGTCTATGTAAGCAGTGGTGAGTACTTGGAGTAGAACTACTATAATCAGCTGATGAATCTCGCTTGTATGAACGCACTCGTGAACGCTCGAGAGTGCCCCAAACAAAGCCACCGTAGATGGGGTCACTTGCCATCTGCGAAAACGTCCTTGATTGTCTGGCTTCGATGACACTTGGATGGAATCCGGTTGGAGGTGAGAATCAGGCACGCTGTGGGGGACGGGGTAGAACATTATGTTCTTGCTTGGATCTTCCGTACCGTGTTGGAAGTAGTAACCTTCCATGTCCGCTTTTGCCATGGCCGGCACGAAGCTGTACTTAAGGTCAGGCTTGCTGACTGGGTTTCGGTAGATCTTCTTGTTTTCAGGTTGCGACTTGTCGAAGAGTTGCTGGCGTTCTCGAAGAAGTTGCTGCCTGATTGACTTCTCCGTAGTCACATCCTCTTTAACGTCTTTCTTATTCTGTAAAATGAGATGTCGTTTTTTCCATTCCACATGTTCGGACATTAACGCGCAAGATAGTTCGATGGATGCGCGGGAACCCAAGAGACGCATGCGCTCTTTCACTACCTGAAGCTTGTTCTGGCCTCTTAAGTCAACGCAGGTGCGAATCTTGGTAGGGTTCTCCGGAGTCGGCTGATGAACCGGAAACGGGACAGCACCTCCAACGGCCGTCACGGACGAGATTGGAGCGGGCTGCCAGAAACCTTTCTTGTGCATCTTCAAGTACTGCTTCCACAAGACCTCAATGTCCTCCTCTGGTGCCCAGTGATTGTGGTCTGGAGGCATACGCGATCTTCTGGCTGCCTCTTCAGCGATTGCGCGTTTCGCCTCGACTTCGTCCGAGTCCAGCATCCTCCAGAAGCCACATGGTTCCACCTCTTTATCCATGGAAATGCCATTAATCATTTTGCGCTTCCATGAGAGAATGAATTCAGCATTCTTGTCGACCAGGGCGTCGCAACCCCTGGCGATAGATACTGCTAGTTCTAGTAGCCGGTGAGCGAGTGCGAAGTTCTTGCCATCGTAAACGACTTTAAGGTGAGGAGGCATTTTGCTGAATAATTCTGCGTTTTTCGTCCTGAGACTATGTTCTTCCGCAATAAGCCATGACGCCAGTCGCGTAGCTTCGGCGTTTATTTCTTCGGGAAGCGAAGTTTTGCTTTTTGTGATGGTTGGTGTGAAGTAGTCTGGCAGTGTAGGACCTGCGCCATAATCGCGAGCTGCATCGGTCTCGAGTACTGGCTTCCAGCTGTTCACTGCGCCTTGGACCAGTTTTTTTTTCTGATTCGGTGGAAGACATAAAGAATTGCGAGCTGACTTCGGAGATGGATGAGGGGGAAACGGGTCGAGACTGGTGCTGAGCTAGTGTCGGTTTCCCTATGGATTCTTCTACATCTTGCAAAATCTCGGGTTTCGTGAAAACTTGGTAGGACGCGGCTTTGCACTGGATGAAATGTTTTGGCACTGCTTTTGATGAAGATGAGCTACCCGCGACCACCGACCTAGCGTTTTCAGCCTGCTGCTTGAGCTTCTTGAAGAAAGGGTTGGTAAATAGCGAGTAGTCTACTTTATTAATATCTACGCGCCCTCCTTCGGTACCATCCTGGAATTAGGACGACGCTCTTCTTCGTTTTGCATTTATCTCATCTGCATCAGAGCGATGGCTTTCGATTGGAAGTGACAATGTTGGCTGTCCATTGTTGGTTGTGGAACCTTTGTTGACTATTAGTCCATGCAGCGCCGGAGGCAGGTCGCCATTGCTGGCCGCTGTCAGATCTAAATCCAGCTGCGATCTCAATTCGTTGCATAAATTATCGAAGTCTCCGCGTTCTTTCTTTTCTAGGTATGCCCGCCTTTGTAGACGTAGTAGTTCTAGATGAGACTGCCTCAGGAAGTGGCCCCATTGTTGTTGCTTGAGCTCGTGAAGGATCTTTTCTTGCTGCAGCCTAGTAAAAGAATCTGGGTTGTCGTAGTCGTACTGTGGTGCCCCGTCCTCATCGACTGGGGCGTAGTACAGTGGTGGTTCGTCTTCTTGATCAAATGAGTCCATCTTGATGTAAGCTATCAGGTGGGGGGGGAAAGGGAATCAGAAGGGAGAAGTTGTTGCGCTAGCACTTATTGTGGACGTTAGTATTCTCGGACTGCGATGCTCTTTCCTTCGTTCGTGGTTGTGTGACGCCACTCGTTGCCTAAGAAAGAAACCACATGGACTTTGACCCGCAAACTTTTCCACCCGCGTTTCTTCTGCAGGCTCCGCAAGGCGGCCACTGTCCTGTTGTTCGCTGTGTACAGTGTGGCGCCGATGAAGTAGCCTCGAATCTTTAAGTCGTTTGTAAGGTCTATGTCTCTACGGTGAGTAAATGAGTTCAACGCTGTAAAGATACTTTGACCGGCGTAAGGCCCTTTGTTGAAAAACTTTGAAATATTGTTTTGCGAGAAACGAAGATTAGATATATCAGTTTCTACTATACTCATTTTGTGGTGAGGTGCTACCGTTTAGGTAAGAAAGAAAGCTTTTGCGAAGTCTTTTCCTGTTGAGGGGTTTTGGAGAAGAGCTGAAATAAAGTCAAGTCGAGCAAGGTCATGCGAGATGAAACCACTCTACTCAACTATTACAGAGGTCAAAGACCAAGTGCGAGGCACGGTCACGGAACAGCAGAAAGTCTAATAAAACTACAAGCAGACAAGGCGTGGTCACCGTCTAATTGCAGTTTCGAAGGATTTGATGGGGGGGTTTCACAAAAACTGGGCAAAAATTGCATTGTGTATCAATCCAAGGGTAGTATCGCTCCTACTTCAAGGGAAGGCAAAGTAAACGAGCGGGGGGATGTGTAATATGACATGCATGAACGTTCGCTTGACCACACTAGAGAATAGCTTTTTAGTAACTTATAGAGATTTTTCATGCTTGGTTTTTCATGGGGGGGGGGGGATGAAGGAAGAGACTTTCTGTATCTGATCTTTTTGGAATGTTGGCTGTCAGCTTGAAGCTAATTTCTTCAACTGATCCGGGTTTAGCCTTCCTTGCAGGAATGCTTTATTGAGATATTCCAGCAATTTAAGATCTCCTCCATGTTTGTTTTTATTTGGGCAGTACTTGCCTTGGCACTTTCCTTCCATCCACAACAAACAAGTTTTTTCATCGTCACTTTTCTTCTTTTTCACCGGTCTGTCATCCTTGTGAGATGGGGAAGGCTTCCTCGACTTCAAGGATCTGATCTCGGCTTCTAATGCCCTTGTTCGCTGGTTCACCTGTTCGCGCACTAGTTTGTCTATTTCAGTTCTCATTTTCTTCAAGGCTTCAGCTTCGACGCTTTCGCGTCGTTTCTCAACTGCAATCTGAGAAACCAGGTCCGGAAAAACGTTTCCTACTAAGGTGGCCTGCAGTTGGCGCTGCTGGAAATTCGGCCCTTCGGCAACAGGTGTGGGATGAGCGAGGTTCACCTTAAGTATCGAGTAAAACAGGTCGTACACCGCTTCCAAAGACAATTTTTGCTCGTCGGATTTTGGGTCGAAAGATCCAGCCACGGCTTTCATCATCGTTTCTTGTAGTGCATTAGCATCAGCGTCGTTGATAATCTGGGTACACCGAAAGGTAGCCAATAGCGCCAGGGGGAAAAGGTTCAGATTTGCGGGGGGCTTAATCAATCGGTCGTAGTTTCGTGCTTGAAGCTGCCTGAGCACGAACAGATACTGTGCCGGTGTGCATTTATGGCGAAGATGGGTACACCGCTCTACGACCAGCATGACTTGTGCGTCAGTCGGGAC